TTTTTTTTTTTTTTTTATCTTTGCACTTTATTAAGATGCCATGTCTCTATATTAATCTGGGTAGACAAGGCCAGACGTTTTTTCCCCTTGGAGTGAACAGCAAAATCTCACCATCTGTGTCTTTAAACATGTTTATGTGGCCTAATACCTAACCTTTGGCCTTCTTGCCTGTGGCATACAAGGTGGCGGGTGTGTGCCCCCAGGATTTCTTTTGGTGTATATTTATGCCTTGTTAATGAAAGAATATGTTAATAAGGGTTATTTGTTTTCTAAATGTGTGCTCACCAAGGCTGTATTTATTTAATCAAAATACAGTAAAAACAATAATATTGTGAAATATTACAGTTTCAAAGATTTTTGTCTGAATATATTTTAAAATATAATTATTTTTATTGTCCTCATTTGTAAGTCGCTTTGGATAAAAGCGTCTGCTAAATGAGTAAATGTAAATGTAAATTCCTGTTATTTATTCCAATGTTGATAATAATAGTAAATGGTAATAATAACATAATTAATACTAATAATAAGACAATTCAGCATATTATAATGATTTCTGAAGGATCTTGTGAGACTGAAGTAATGATGCTGAAATTTTTAGCTTTGCCATCAATTTTAAAATTTAATTGAAAATACATTTATAACTGTAGTAATATTTCACAATTTTTTAATGTATATTTTTACTGTGTTTTTGATTAAATAAATGCACCCTTTGTGAGCATAAGCGAATCCTTTCAAAAACAATTACAAAATACGATGGCAAATAAATAATGAAAAATAACTAGATCTATAATTGTAATAAATCATCTTTATTTATTCATTCATTCATTCATTCATTTAACCCGTGAGAGAGTGTGCAGTAAACTAATTTTTACTATGGTTAAGGGTGTAATCATCTAAAGTGTCAGTAACTCACAGCCTCTAATTGCTTATTACCTTTGTAAAACTCCAAAAAAGGCAATATATTAGACACCAATATATAGTTACTTTTACTATTGTGTTATTCTTAATATTAATAATTCAACTGTGTGCAATCACACGAAGTCAGCTATTATATCACAGCTTCTGTCTGTCTGTCGGTCTGTCCATCCATCTTTTTGTCTGTCTCGTTGTCTGACATTGTCTCCAAGCTTAAGAATATTTGAATCACTTTGTCCTTGTTTATAGTTTAATTATGCTGCTATACTTTATCACCACAAGATCGCGAGACTACATGACAAAAAGCTTTACTTGTGAAGTTAACACATTTTAAGATCTTGGTGACATTTTTGCCTTGTCAAATGAATTGGATTTTGTCCTTTTCGTGTGGACAAGGTGTGATCAGCCCTTTTAATGTCATGCCATCAGCTGCAATTACAGCTGTTTAGCGGGTCCATACAGACTGGATGTCATATAAATAAATGCAAGTGTATGTAAGGTGTTACTTTTTTTGTCTCCCTGCAGAATGTGTGCCGTATTTGGAGGAATTTATTGTCTGCGACACTCAGTGCAGTGCCTGGTTGTGGACAAGGCGTCTAACAAGTAAGTAGTTCACCACTGATTCACATCTTACACATTAACAACACGCATTTCAACAAAAAAACAACAACTCGTAAGACACCGAAATTCAATTAGGTAAGTAGATTTACTTCCTCCTCTGGTTGATTCACACCACTTCAGCATCCCAAGGCTGATCAGAGCTCATTTGTGTACGGGGTACTCAAAAACAAGGCCAAGAGATGGCTCACATGAGTGAATGGGTGGGGGGGAATATTCGGAATATAGATATGAAATTAATTTTCTGGGAGACAGCGGTACCAGCCCCCCTTAAGCAGCCGAGCTCGGAAGACAAATCACAGACTCTGCCACTTGGGCCGGCGATGAGTGATGCCGCTTTTTCCTCGTGGCCTTACCTCCACTAATTGATTTTCATCTGAAGACAAAAAAGCCCTCTGTTGCTGCCTCTTAAAAAATGAGAGTTCATCTCCCGTCTCCCTTGATTAATCTGTGCTGATAATGTGCGTCAGGCCCCACCAGAAAGGCCTTTAATGAGTTTCAAAGGTGGATTGTTGTCATAAACTAGGTTAGATCGGGGTTTTTTTCCCCTCTCTCTTTATTCCTTCCTCATTCTTTGGCCTTCTCTTTGGCAATATATTGAGTTTCTTTCATCTTGCTGGTGAATGACCCAGGGGGCTTGGATTCCTCTGGATGTAGCGCACGGACACTTACACATGTGAAAGCATTAGCTTACTAGTGTAAAGGCTATGGCATATCATGCCAGTGCAGCAGTGCTCAAATTAGATGCATTTTCCTGTCGTTTATCAGAAAATCATAAATTGCTCGTAAACTAGTAATTGGGCATATCAACCCAATTATGGCTGCTTCTCTGATTAGTTGCAATCTCAGTATCAATTCTTAAAATTACAAAAACCTTCTTATACTCAGCAGCAGCACATCTGTTACTGTTACTGAATCTACCAGTCCACGGCAAAATACGTAATTTTCCCTGGGTCCAAATTGAATTTTAATTGCATATGTGGAAATCTATTGAGTTATAACATGCAGAGTAAACAGTGTAGTTTGATTCATATACAAATTACTCTCATGAACCAGTTCTTTTTAGTGAATCAAAAAATGTGCAACCAGTGTAGTCTGAACAAATGACAATGTATAATAATTTTAACATTGTTATTATAATAACAGGTTTACATAAAATCAGTTATTTTAAATAAGAGGTCAACTGATATATCGGTTTTGCCGATTAATCGGCACCGATAGTTGAGTGCTGGAACTATCAAAAATCCATGGCGATAGTTTTTCAGGTTTTTTTCCATTTGAATGAGCTGCTGAGAAGGGTCCGCTGTCATTATACAGTGCGAGAGCGGCCTATAGTGGCGGAAATCACTGACACCTCGTGTTGTATGTTTTGATACGTGAGGCTGCGGCAGCCTGCACAGTGCAGGACACTTCAGATGTCGATTTAAATGCAGACGACGGAAAATCCTGCCACGCCACACAGCGCCATTCACATAGTTTTCCATTAAATTACATTATATTTGTCCCAAATCCTTGTTAATGTACATAATGACTTCACCCTAGGCTGTAAAATTGTGTATTGTTCATTTTTTCAGCTAAACGGTTGTCTTTCTATGGCTCTAAGAAAGTATGCTTCATTTATTGAGCTATAATATAGATTGCGCTTTCTTTTTCCATTTGGTCTGTTTTTTTAAACACTGAACTTCAAACTCATCTCTGTCACATTGTTCATTTACTATGAAACTATGAGCTAACTTTAATGATTAATATAATAATTCTATTTTTATTAATTTACAGTATGGTTCAGTACTGTTTTTTAAAAAAATAGTTAAGCACTATTTTCGTTTTCATTCAGTATCCATTTAAAAAGCTATCGGTTGATTAATCGGTATCGGCCAATATGGTCCAACCTGGCTATCGGTATCGGTAAAATCCACTATTGGTTGACCTCTATTTTAAAGGTGACATATCATGAAAATCTGACTTTTTCCAGTTTTAAGTGCTATAACCGGGTCCCCGGTGCATCTACCAACCCAGGAAATGTGAAAAAGATTAACCCAGTAACTTTGTTTTGGTAAGCCTTTTTCTGCAAGCATCTGAAAAAACAAGCGCGTCAGATTTCGCTCCCTTCGTGACGTGGCAAATGGATCTTATTATAATATCACCTCCCCTTTATTTGCACGTTTCCACTCACGGTGACAGCACCGCCATTCTGTTTTCGCAAGTGACAACGGTATACCAGTTCTAATGCCATGGCTAAAGTTCGAGCAAAGCATGCAAACTGTTCTATCGTTAGCTGCACAGACGAGTATATTACCCTGCTGCCACACAGATCTAATATAAACATGCAATCTCTTTCCCAGGTGTTTACCTTCACAAACATAACAGACTGTTTTTGTAACTTGTGTGTTTTTAACATAAACGTGTGTGTATTTGACAGTTTAAGCGCAATAAGACATGAAAGAGAACTTAGTTTAGAAATCACATGCCGTGTGACAGCCGCTTTCTGTGCGCGTGCTCCGGATGTGTGCGCTCAGAAAACCCTATATCAGAAGTTTAAACTAATATGGCTATAAAACGCATGATAGACGTTTTAGCTATAGCTATAGACGTGATAATCAAAACCAAACAGATAGTTTTTTTTTTTTTTATCAGAGTATCTGACGTATGAGCTGTAAAGGCACAGTCCTATTCTGGAAAAGGGGGCGGGGAGCAGAAGTTCTTTTGCATTTAAAGATACATGCATGAAAACAGCGTGTTTCTGCTTCCACTCAAAATAGGTATTTTCAAAATGATATAATAAATGATCTGTGGGGTATTTTGAGCTGAAACTTTACAGACACATTCTGGGGACACCTGAGACTTGTATTACATATTGTAGAAAGGGGCATAATAGGTCACCTTTAAATTAAAACTAAAACATAAAATCAAAACTTTTTAAATATCAGTTTTTCGATATATTCATCTGATAAATAAATAGCAGTTAACTGTGGGTCATGTTGTTAATTTTTAAAATACTATTAAAATCTAGTAGTAATGATATATTATAATTAATATTAAATATAAAGATTCCTTATATAATTTACAGCAGTAGCCGAAAGAGGATTTGTTTCATATTTCAACATTATAACCGAAATATGACAGAATGACTCAGAATTGAATGAAAATTACATAAAACCAAATCAAAATGAATCAAAACAAATGGAAAACTGAATTGAATCTAAACAAAAGCTTGTGAATCAGATTCAAATGTAATCACAAAAATGTGTATCAGTACCCATTCATTAACCTGGCCAACTTTTTGAGAATAAATTACATTTTAAGAAGTGGTTTTTCATATATATATATATATATATATATATATGTGTGTGTGTGTGTGTGTATATATATTAAATGGTAACATTTATTCTTGAACCAAGCGGATAACTTTAATAATTTGTTCTCCCAACGTACTTTTCAGATGTTTATTCAGTCTTTTAGTAGGTCATTTGACGGAGGTCAGTTTTGATATGTGACATCTGTCCCTGATGCCGTCCCTACTGTCAGTTCTACTTGAACTGCAAGAAGTGTTCCTCAAAACTTAACGTAGCATACGAAAAACAACCAAGATGACCTTAATTGATAATTTACTGTACATTCTTCCTAATCGCCACTGATGCCCTGAAATACAAGAACCCCAATATAACTGGAGCACTTAGAAGTTTCAAGGCGAATCCTTTCATCCATATTGGATTGGAGCCAGACTCCGCTGACCAGGGCTGGGATGGGAGCTGGCAGAGCTCCAAACCAAGGTGTCCGTCAGACCCTGAGCTCAGTCTATAAAGCATCGCCTAGAGTGTAGCGCGGACCATCCGTGCCCTCCACCAGTGGCGCCCCGTGTGGAGTCAGCCCTGCGCTGGAGGTTAGCGCCATACATCATCGATGGAAAAAGTTTCATGAAGGTGAAGAAAAAAAGCTGGCAAGGTGTCTGGCAGGCTGAACAATGATTTTAATTTCCCTGGCATCATAAATTACCGCCCTATGTCTGCTCTTATTACAGACATAAAGCTGAAAAGGGTAGAGCCATATTAATAATGCAGCAGAGGATTACAGACCCTCAAATCCCACCTGCCACTCCATGCGGAGGACGGTCCAGCGCTGTCCGGTTTGTTACCGCCTCGACAGGCAACTCAATCACGTGTCCGAATTCATTTGTCCAAGTTCATTTCACACGTCAACTGAACTCAATTCTTTGAGTGGCCTGTGATGATTTCTTCTGTCACTCGTGGCGGCCCGGTGATAAAATCCCTTTTTTTGGGTTACATTGAAGAAAGCACCCAACCCATATGTTATGTTGACTATCCAAGTTGGAAATTTAATGCACAAAATATAATTTGTATTTCCTCTTTTGTCCATACGCGAGTTAATGTGGACACCAATTCTTTCAGTGATTTAAAACAATGGCGTACTATTTTATGCAATATTTACCAAGACAAATTAGCTTCTTGCTTGTAATATCCGTCATGGTGTCATTCAGCATATGATCTGTTTAGCCTACACAAAACCACATTTGCAGAGAAGTATATAAAATTCAAATGAGTTTGAACGCATGCATCGTTGGGTGCAAGGTTATCACGCTGATTGGTTCAGAGGCCACTGACATAGTTTATGAAGGTGATTTATGAATGCTTATGATGATCTACAAAGCCAACGCTGGCCTTGGTTGCAAGTGAAACGGAATCATTAGCACTATTTCAGTGTTTTATGCACCCTGACAGAAGAAACTTGTGCACTTATATATAAAACTCCTTACATGGAGTACTGAGAGAACACTGCAGATAATTGCAAAACATATTAAAAATGTTGAACAAAATTCAATCCAGGACTCGTATAAGGATTTTTTTCTGCTTGCCCAAGTAATTCCGTCATTTTTGTTACTGTTATGATATTTGTATCAAAATCTTTTATATGCATAAAAATGTTTACATTCTCTAACAAAAAAAATGGTTAGGTTCACATTCCATTAGGTTTAAATTCATTTTAATGCAAATGAAAAACCTAATGAATTACTTGAAGTTAGGATTTTTGTGAAGACAAAAAAAATTATATGTTTATTATTATATATAATTCTCACTATATAAACTGTATACATTGTATAATTTATATAAATAATTCATTAGGTTTTTAATTTGCTGTAATGAAAACAATACAATCGAAACTGAAATCACATAATTAACAATATCAGCTTTCAATACACATTAAAACGAATGTTGGAGTTAAAGGATAAAAATAATTGTACATCATAAAATGAAAGATTGACCTGAAATTGTCAATTGGCCTGAAATGCTTTTAGACATAGCCCTGCAGTCATTTACGTAAATAAGTAGTTGGTTCGCTTAACTCAGAAGGAGCTTCCTGTGAGCAAAAGCGACCTGCTACGGAGTCCCTCAGGTGTGTTAGGTTTGTGAAATGTGTCTCATATTGCTTTCTTTCACCCCATTGGCTGACGATTGATTGGAAGCCCTCCACTTCCTCTGCTAGTTCCTCCGAGTAAATAAATCTTCATTTACATAAACAGATCTGTCCTGCAGTCAATCTGGGCATTGGGGGGAGAATTATTCCGAGGCCTGACTTTTCGTCAGGGGAGGGAGACGCTCTCTTGCCCCTTTATTGTGTTGTGAAAGTCCATTTCAAGGATGTCACCCCCAGCCCATTAGTTTGGATAATGAGCCCTATAAAGCACATTTATAACTCTTGACATAACAAGCCAACAGATTCTCCTCTGTTCCTCCTTTTTCTCTCTCACTCGCTCTTTTCCTTCTCGGTTGCAGAGATTAAAGGAGGAAAGGTCAAACCTGTGCCCTAAGCTGGTGGTTCATGTCTGGTTTTGTTTTGGGATCCAAATTTTCCGTTTTGATATTAACTGACATGCAGTAGACATGCAAACAAAAATTGTTTAAAATCTGATTTATTCCAACAATGCAAAAATATGACTTATTTATTGACAAAAATGCCAAAGCACCATGTATTCCTATAGTGATGCATATGCAATGGCAGGCCACTTCTCTTTATAAAAAGAGTTTTTAGAAGTAACCACCTGACCCATGAAGGATGAGACAGCTAATATATGATGCTCTAGTCTTTTAATATTTTATCTTCAAATCATAATCTGACCGTCTCTTGACCCTTTTGTGATTAAAGCAGTTTTTTTGGGGTAAAGAAAGGCTTGCAGTTTTTCCTTGTCCTGATGCGTCTTCTGTATTCATACGTCATAGAGTTAAAGCTGTGATTGATACACGTGGTCAGAAGATCAGCTGCAGTCATTTTGTGGTTGAAGATTCGTACATCAGAGATGAACAAAGACAGAGCACAGCTTACAGGTAAGCACATAATAAAGTGAAATTAGTATTCATTATTGTAATTACTGACAAACTGTCATTTCTACCATGAAAAACAGATATTGATCGTCCCATCCAGCTGTTATAATGAAGAGCAGGGCTCTACAGTGTTGACATTTCACTTGCACTTTCTTATATATTTAATACTATTAAAAAAATAAAAACACTTTATACCTCCAATATAACCAAAATGGTAACTTGTTAAAAGTTGTATTTAATTTATTGTAATTATAACATTATACATTTGTTTTTCCTAACATACATAATGGCTTCTTTGTGAAATGCAAAATGAGATGTTTTGAATAATTTCCATATAATGAAAGTAAATGGGGATAAAATCTATAAAAGCACCATGAAATCATTATAAAAGTGGTCCATATCATATAGGCCTGGGCGATAAAACGGTATCGATATTTATCGACGGTACACCTTCTTTGATAACGATATAAAAAAATGTTCGATATAGAAATGTGCACGATATAAGCACGTGCTATGAGTGACGCAGACAGCACACACAAACACATGCTGAATTGAGTGCTGTGCCTGCTTGTGATGAGGAGATTGTGAATAAAAAAAATAATAATATAAGTCGAATTTAAAATAAACATTTGCATTTGAATACAAAAATAGTACAATCAAATGTTAGGTGTGCATCAGGGAGCGTCATCATTGGAGCACGAGATGCGGTGATGATGATGTAAATGACGTTGTTGCATTTTAATGCATTTTAATGTTTTGTTAGTCTAGCCCACGAGACGTGCAGTTGCTGCATTATTCATTTAAAATATTAGAGAAATATAGTAGCTCAATGCGTAGAAAATGTTGAATAGGTTAAAACTGAAACTAAGCCATTCACACAGAACGCAAATTCAGCACATTTTTTAGACAGACAAATATGACTGCTGCACTCGCGTCTCACTGCAAAGTTAAAGGGATAGTTCACCCAAAAATGAAAATTTGATGTTTATCTGCTTACCCCCAGGGCATCCAAGATGTAGGTGACTTTGTTTCTTCAGTATAACACAAACAGAAATTTTTAACTCAAACCGTTTCAGTCTGTCAGTCCTATAATGTCAATGGATGGACAGTATTTATATCGTTTTTTACCTCTGATTCACCGCAATGTCCGAACTGTCCTGAGCGTGTTCTCAACAGCCGGCACGTGACGCGTCTTCTTCTTCTTCTTACTTTACGGCGGATCGCAGACTTATAAGTGCATTACCGCCACCTATCTAATCAAATGGACCATTGACACTCTATCTACAATCTCAATTGGAAGTGTGGTCCATTTGAGAGATAGGTGGCGGTAATGCACTTATAAGTCTATGAAACATTATATCGTTGATACATTTTTTTAGCTATATCGCCCAGCCCTAATATCATATATATTCTTAGTTGTCCTTGTGTGATGACCAGTGTTGGGCAAATTACTCTGCAAATGTAATCAAATTATTGATTACTCCTTTTAAAAGTAATCACGTTTCTGTTCCGATTACTTTATTTCAAAAGTAATTAGTTATATTACTAGTTACGTTACCTTTTTTTCCATGAAATTTATGAAATCCCAGCATACACGCTCCCGATAAATATTTGTTATTAAAGCATCAACATTCACA